ATCACCTTGTTTTGAAAAACCTATCTTGTCATTGTTTTGGGTTTGTTGCTTCTTTCTTTTGCTTTTTGTTTTTCTTTTGTGTCTTTTTCTCTCTTAAATTAAAAACAAAACAAACAAACAAAAACCTGCCTGGGAAACAACAAGACTGTCTCAAAATAAAGTTTTATAAAGAGGCTGGATTGTGGCATAATGGGAAGGCCTTGGGTCCAATTTTCAGTACATTAAAAAAAGGGGTGGGGGATAAGGGTAGGGTGAAGAGGAAGGAAGGGAAAGGGAAAGAGGCAAAAAGGACTAGTTTCAAAATTTGGGAGAAAAACAGAAACAAGAAAAGCTATGTCAATGTTTAAAAGACAAAATATTCTTAGATCCTAAATATTCTAAATGTAAAATATAAAAGTCTTGATAAAATCTAAGACAAGGCCAATGTCTTTCATATACTAATGTTTCAAAGTACTGTAAGAAAAGGCCTCTCAAAACTTAATAGGTTCATAAAATGAATGTCAATCTATGACATTATAAGACAAATTCTAATTACAATCATTCTACTATCCATGAATTTTCAAAACAGTAATGTCTTTGCCACTTCAAAATGCTGTTTCAGAATGATCTAATTTTGTACATTTTTACTAAAGGTCTAATAAAAATTTCTCATTATTATTAAGTACATTAGGTACATCCCTGCTTAAACATTCCTTTTCCTCTGATTTTATTTTTTCTCAATTTATGCATTTATTCATTTAATTGTGTTTTAGTCACTCTGGTACCGAGATCTGACTTACTTTCTTGTCTCTGGGACAAAATATCTGACAACTACAAAGGAGGAGAGGTTTTACATTAAAGGAGGAGAGGTTTATTTTGATTCCGGGTTACAGTCCATAGTCATGTGGCTCTAGGAAAGAAACAGCATGGCAGAGGGGTATGGCAGAGCAAAGCTGCTCCTATTACTGAATACAGCAAATAAGGTGAAAATATAGTAGGCAGCCAGACAGGGCTGGGCCCTTGAAGGAGTCAGTGCAAAAGATGAGAAGCATCAGGACTGTGGCTGGAGGTACATTTTAAGATTAAAGTCACAATGGCTAATTTTACATACTTCCCCCTAAGGGATGAACAGAGGCTTGGATTATTGCTATCACCCTTTTGAGATTTCCATTATCTCATTAGGGGTGAATCATTCTCTCCTGCCTACCAAGAATAAGAGTAAGACAAAGACTAAGACTAAAACTAAGATTATAGATTACAGATTATTGATCAAGGTTGATGATGTTACTCATGTACTTTTGGTACCATTACATTAATACACCTAATTGACTATACTTGCAATCTTAATGTTTGATCATAATTCTGACCCACTTTATATCACCTCATGATTTTGCTCCACAAAACTTCCTTTGAGAGGTGGGCTCACTGGTAACCCATTCGGGACTCCTCCTGTCTCTCAGGTGCTATCCTATTTCCCATTCCTACGCCCCATTCCTTTTCTCAAATAAATTTTCCTACTTGTAACCTCTGTTGTTCCTTAGAATTCATCCTTGGACTTCAGGGGACATGAATTTATGTATTTGACATCTAGCATTTCCCCTGCATCAATATCATGGTGAATAAGAAGTAAAGTGAAGGGAGAAGATGGGAAGGTAGATGTCCATAACGCCAGGTTATACCACCACTGGATTGCCTCTTCCTACAGAACCTGCCTTCCAAGAGTAAGTCAGCTAAAATACCTCCATAATCTAATCAACTGACATGTGACACTTTAGGGGGCCGTTTTTGGTCCAAATAGTAACAAATGATAAAGCTTTACTTTGCTTTATCACTACGGTACTTATTTTACTCTCTTTGCTCTGCTTTATTATCAGTGTATACTGCATGTTCTACCAATAAGCATTTAATATTGATATTTTGAAAGCAAGTTGATAAAACAGTCTCATGCATGCCAAAGCAAAAGCACATGGAATATTTTTCTGTATGTAAAGTATACAGGTTATTCACCACAAGCTAAAATATTAGTCATAAGGTTGCATAATCACAGTAAACTAACATCTAAATCCTAATTAAAATGTTTGTGAATATCTTTCTTTCTATACCCACAAAAATTTTTTAAAGCCATCAGGCCTAGAAGCTGTGAATATATTTCAGTGTAATTCTAGATAGATAAAATTCTGAAGTAGAAGAGTTGGACAGATAGAGAGAAGGGGGAAAAGGGAATCCATCTTTAAAAGTGACCTGTTAATGGGCTGATCAGGGATAAATAAAATACAGAAAATTCTTTCAGTTCTCTTTAGCTATTTTCTGGGAAAGTTTAAGCCAACAGCATTCATTTGATCTCAAACTGAACTCTCATTATCAATAATTATGGAGCACTAAAGAAGTGAGACAATCAAAGTAAAATAATCAGTCAACTTGAATTAGAAACCTAATTCTGACATTTACAAGCTCCATCATTAGAAGTGTAAGGGGTACCTTCCTATATATTAACAGGATATTAAAAGTACCTATTGCTAATGTAATTAAATGAGATAATACATGTAATTACTTAGCAAAATTAACAGTACTAAAAAAAGTATATTTGAAATGCTAGATGCTTATCAGTATTATGTCTACTGTGAATAGAGCATTTTTTCATGTCCCTTGTAGTTCTGATCATATTGTTTCTCTACTTAATTATTTACAGACTTCCCACTTAAGAATTAACCCTAAACTCCTTAAAATAGTATCAGGACCTCTCATACTCCTCTCTCATCATTATTCCTTTTCTACTCTAAACCAAGCCTTAACAGACATCAATGTCACAAATATACCATATTCCCATGCCAGCCTCCACTCTTCTCATATGAAGTTCATTTTGCACAGAACATTTAGAACATTCCTTCCTTTCAGCTTTTTCCTTCATATTGTGCCAGTATGTATAATATTCAGTGTATAAAACATTATATATAATACATATTTATATATATGTATATACATTATAATATATATGTGTATATATTATATATACATTATAGTATATATGTGCATATATATTTACATGCTAATTTATACATATTTGAATATTACACACTGAATATTATACATACTGGCACAGACATATAATATATATACACATTTGTATTATATATAATATTTACACATTGAATAATAATATCTTCTTAGAGCCTGTCTGTGATACATGGACTAGTATAGATTAATCATTTTATATAGACATTTTGAGATCAGAATGTGTCAACACTGAAAATGAAAACCAACATGACAAGAATAGCACACCAGAGGAACCAAAAAAAGGGGGAAAAAAAGGCATGGTTCTGCTTACCTTTTAAATTGCTTGCTAATTAGCAGTAAGCACATTTGTAGTTTAAACCAGACATTAACAAATGACAACTCTTGGGTGAAATCAGCCAGCTGTCAGTTTTTGTAATTAAAGTTTTATTGGAATATAGCTGAGTACTAGTTTACTCTTATTCATGATTATAAAGTTCAGTTGCAACAGACGCCCCTGGCTTGGAAAGCCTGAATAGTTTACTATTCAGTAAATCAGGTGCTCCCTGAGTTGAGGCCATTGATAATTGGGTTCTGTTACTTATGGTCAAGTAACTTGTGTTTGAATGTTCCTTCTTTTGTTTTCCTTGCTACAAACTCATCTGACTGTACCGTTGTTAGTTGGATACCTTTCCGTCTATGCTTATTTTCCCCTTTGCATGAAAGCTTCGAGTAGTACTAGCACTAACATTATGTTTTTATACTTAACATTGATCTAATAAATAGAAGGCATTTAAATATTGTTGACCAAGCAAGTAAATGGATGAATGTTCATATCTGATGATCAATATATATTTATGAACAACCAAAATGTACATCAGTTATTCTTATACATGAATATAAATTCTGAATGGTTTTAAAAAGCAGATTTATGAATCTTTAAAAATTAATATTAATAAATTATTTCTGGAACGAAGTAGGATGCACAAGTACATATATAAATACTTTTATAGTAAATGTGTATATTGATTTAAAAAATCCTTATTTTGATTTTTGATCAGATTGAGAAATAAGAATTTGAATATACTCAGCTCTACCTAGGTGAAAGGGCACCCTGACACACAACCACCCATATTATGGTCCACTGAAATTACTGAGCTCACTGAATGAGATTACTATAGTTTTCTGAAATCAGATCCCAGGGACCCTCAACTGACATCTCTTATTTTTACTTTATTCATTATCTTTGCTGTGATTAATGTTAAGAAATGATAATAAACATAATATTATTTATGAATCTGGCATCTAGGACTCAGTCTAATAGAACACAACAACTCTGAGTGAGATTCACATGAGATGTTTGAAAGACATGAGATGTGATAAATTCCATGTTCTATTTTACAGAACTAAAGATTCCATCACAATTTTGAATAAAACAAACAGTATATTTAAACTGCCAAATAAGAAACATCTACTATTTCAAAATAGTTGTGAGTAGATTTCATCCTCCAAATGGACAGTTAGAATCACCGTTTTAATAATAGATATATCCAGTCTAATACACATACTCCTACCCTAATCACCATTCTAAATGAAGAGGCAATAGTAAGTTACATAGTCCCCTCCTTCTCTTTCATTGTTATTCTTTTCCTCAACAGGTGTAAGTTATGGGATGTCTTTAATCACTATATGTATAGCCTATACATTTTAAATTCATATTCACAATAAAGAAATAGAAGGTATAACTCCAAAAGTTATGTAAATTTGCCTTTATTTGTGTATTAAACATTAATATTGCACTTTATATTGTTTCTAAGAGTTGTTATATTATTATTAAAGAAAACAGAAATGTGCCATAATCAAATAAGGTAACTACTTACCTTTTCTGTTTCCTCTCTTACATTCTCTTTTATTCATCTTACAGGAGTTTAGCCACAAGGATAGAAGTAAGAGAAATTTCAGAGAAAAAAAAACTTACTTTGAATATTGCTATGGTGTCAGTGAGTCATCTAAAATTTGCATCAACTTACCCACGTTTTATGTGTAATTCTTTATCCTTGCTTTTATCTTTTTCTCTTTTTTCTTTATCTCTGCCTTTACGTCGATCTCTCTCCCGGGACCTACTACGGGTTCTTCTGTGACTGGATCTTTCGCTGCTTCGACTATGGGAACGTGGACGAGGTCTTGACCTGGACCTACAGTAAGCAGATTTGATTAAATATAATCAGCAAATATTTCTCATTTTTAAAATATCCTATAAAATCATTTAAAAAATTAGCTTTAGTTATAAGCTAATCATTAACTGCAGGAAGCAAGCATTTGAGTATGATTCTTTATGAGTAAGTACTGTTAAAATGACATGAGGTAACATATGTTGCCTATTTTGCAAAAAACTAACCTTCAGTCAAACAGTGTTTAAAAGTGGAAGTCTTCTTATGTTTTTTTGTTTGGTTTTGTATAGTCTATGTTGCCCTGGCTGGCCCTGAATCCTGGGCTTTACGTTATCTCCCTGCCTCAGTTTCTCAAGTAAAAACTCTGAACAGAAATAAGTGAAAGGTACAAATATGTAAGTCAAACCTTAATTAGTAAGGTCGTGTGAGATAATGTAACAAATCAAAAGTGTTTAATGTAACCTATAAGGATGGAGGTTTTCCTATCCCTGTAATCTCTGCCTCTTTTCAACTCTATTCTTTATTTCTGTTTCATAAAATTGTTCATCAAGTAATCCAGCTATTTTTTGTACAAAGTGATAATATTAGGTAGGTGTTTTAGTTACTTTTCTTACTGCTGAGACAAAATACCTGAAACCCAAAGTTAAAGGAGGAAAGGCTTCTTTTGGCCCACAGTTATGGCAATTTCAGTTCATAGTTGGCTGGCTCCAAGGCAGGGTGGCATGGCAGAGGGGCATGGCAAAGCAGGCATGCAGAAGGCTGCAAGCAGCCAGCAACAGTAACTGACTCTCTTTCTGTCCCTTACATCTTATTCAGGCTACCCACATTTATGGCGTTTAGCATTCATACCCAGGGTGAAGCAGTCTTAATCCTAGCATCACCCCATGAATCAAGCCCAGCATTTCATCACTGATTACTGCACCACACACCAGAGATCTAGCCACCTCGAAAAAGCCCCACCTATGATTGAAAGTTTTGTTTTGTTTTGGCCAGGGGACAGCTAGATACAATCCATAACAACAGAATACATTATATGCTAATAAATGTCAATTTCAAGTTCTGGCTAACAGTATTGATAAGAAACCTTCTAAAAGAATGAAAATACTACAGATAACTACTTAGTACATGAAGGTACTAGAGAATGACATAACGCATGGAGATTCTATAGGGGGCCAACCCTTGGAAAGAGGAAATAGCAATGAGAAAATTGCCAATTTAATCAGTTTCTACACAGAGAAGGCTCACAGCTGTGGCATGTATGAGGTAGATTGAAATGCCCAGTATATGTTTAAATTTTTAAAGTGTATTTCAGTAAAAGATGCATTGTCATCAATCCCCCCTCAAAATGCTCCCTCTTACTTCTAATACACTTATCCCAGCATTGTTGCAACTTTCTAAAGCAATTCTGGAAGTTTTCTTTCATGTGTAATAGGATGAGATCAAAAATCCAGCGAATACTGCTGCTCTTGAAAACATCATAGTATGTCCTCAACTACTTTATTCATTGGACCTAGCACTGTGCAAATTCTGGCTCTTCACCAAACTCAAAGTGACATGAAAAGTAAATATTTGAATTGATTCAAGACACACAGCCAGCCATGACATCAAGTACCATAATGATACAGAAAGGAAAGCAAATCAAGAACATTGTTTTAGATTTAAAAAATAAATAAAAATAAGCATCAAAAGCAGGAGTGCTTTACAGTAAGTTATAAAAAAAAAACTCTGCAAGAGAAGCAACAGATGGAGATGAATCTTTGAAAAGAATGAAGAAAATTAGGAAGACTAAATATATGGATAAAAACCACAATATTTACTTGTCTCCCCTTGAAATACAAATAAAAACTGCAATGTGTTACTGGAGGATTTATAAATGGAGGTACATATAATATCAGGTACATAGTCTATATCTGTGATAGAGTAAACTATGGTCAAGAAAATAAACCTATAAAATTAAAAAGTGTCTTACTTTTACATTAGTACATTTTCCTGGGCATTTCTTATTCAGTAAAATAGTAACTCTAAATAGAACAAAATGGTAAAGAGTATATACTGTAACTCCTAGAGGAATTAAAAAAAAAATAAATGGGGGCTGGGGATTTAGCTCAGCGGCATAAGCATCTGCCTTGTAAGCAGGCAGTCGTGAGTTCGATCCCGGGTACCAATAAAAAGGAAAAAGACCAAAAAAATAAATAAAATAAAATAAATGTAGCAAAAAATCTGACAGATAAAAAGGAATTCTTAAAAATATTCACTAATCCATAAAGAATCCGAAAAGAAAATACAAAGAAACAAAAAAACATGTAAAGGATAAAATAGTTAAATATAAGATTTGAATGTAATAATAACAATGAATATATTTAATATTATTAAAGGAAATAATTAAAAATTGTCTGTCAGATGAACTAAAATGCCACAGACAACTATATATTATGCACAAATGCACTATAATTTGCAAACACAAAGAGGTTGAAAATAAATGGCTAAATGTACATCATGCATATTATAAACCCAGGAAAGCTAAAGTAAGTATATAAATTAGACGGCAGAAACTAAAATTATCACCCAAAATAAAGATATTTCACAGTAATGAAAGAAATGAAACTGAATGTACAGAGTTGAATTAGAAATTAACAGTAAGACAACAGAAACATACATAGAAACTACACTTTTAATTAATTCATAGGTCAAGTAAGAAACCAATAGGCAAATTAGAAAATATTTTAAACTGAATGATAATGAAAACACAACATATGATAATCTGTGAGACATAGCTAAAGCAATACTTAGAAGAAAATGCATGGTTTTAAATACTTACATTAGAAAAGAGGTAAAATCAATTACCTCAGGTTTTACTTTAAGACATTTACAAAAAGCCAGGCATGGTGATACATGTCTATAATTCGAGCACTCTGCTGAAGCAGGAGGATCAAAAATTGACACTCAGCCTAGACATCAAGCAATTTCATGAGACCCAGTCTCAAAAAATAAAGAGAGCTGAAGGTATGGTTCATGGCAGAAGCCTTGATTTCAATCCATAGCACTACATATTTTTTTTAAAACCTTACAAAAGCAAAGTGAAGTAAGCCCAATGTTATTGACAAAAAGGAAACATTACATTGAAGAGTAAGAATATGAAATAGAAAACAGTAGAGATTATAAACAAAATCAGAACCTGGTAGCATGAAAATGTCAATAAAATTGATAAAATAGCTAGTTAGAACAATTAAACAAAAAGAAAAGACCAATACAAATTACCAAAGAATAACAAAAGTGGATGTTGGAGAAATCATAAGAATTAGTACTGATACACATTCATAGTTAAGTCTCCAGGAGAATTACATGGGTCATAGTTAAGTCTCTAGGAGAATTACATCAGCCTAAGTAATGTGTGTCCTCTTCCCTCCCTAACAGGTTCATTCAATGAATGAAGAGCAATACTGGAGCATAAATCCACAAATAATGTTTTTTAATGCAATTTTGAAATTTACAGTATTTACTGCTAGAAATATCACTATTGGTTAAATACCTTATCATCATAAGGTACAAAAATGAATTTTCCATCATTTTCATTCCAAGTTTCTTGATGATTTTTCTTAATTAGGACATAACTATCCTCCCATAGAAAAGCTTTATAATTATGGCTTATTATCCTTATAGATGTTGTCCTATTCGTTTTGAATGAATCTTATATTACATGTGGGTATGCTGAAACTTCCTGGTAAGCGCAAGGTCCTAAGTTTGATTCCTGGAACCAAACTTCCAAAATAACCTTAAGGGGCTGGGTATTTAGCTCAGCGACATAAGCGCCTGCCTTGCAAGTGCACGGTTGTGAGCTCGATCCCCGATACTAATTTTAAAAAAATGTTAAATCCAAAATAATATTAAACTGTTCTAATAAGGAAGTAATATGAATAAAATTACTGGGAGTGTCCTGTGATTTCAGTCACTATATCTAACATACATATAAATATCCTATATAATATCTGACAGATGTATGACACATTAATCTTAGCTTGGTTCTACATTGTCAGGTTCAAAACATAATTCTGGGAAATAGTTGTGAAAATGCACAGTAATAAAAGACAAGTAAACACACAAAGATCATCATTATACAACAATTTTAAAAATCAGCTGAATGAAAAGATTTAATAATTATAAATGTATATGCACTGAAAGACAAAAAAATCAATTCATAAAAGTGAGAGATAAGTTCCAATACAATAGAGAATCCAATATCATGGCTTCATCAATGAACATACATAAAGAGAAAAAAATATCAGAGTTAAACAATAATTTAGATCGAGACCTAACATGCTTATACAAAACATTTCAATCAATAGCTGTAGGATACACATTTTTTTCAACAACACATGTAATATTCTCCATACTAGGCATACATCCAGTCATAAAAGAAGTCTCAACAAAGTTAAAAAACTCCAAATCATACCACAAAACTTCTCAGACCACAATGAAATAAAACTAGATACGAACAACAAAGGTAACTTTAGAAACTGAAAATACATGTAGTCTTAGCAACATGCCAATGAACAGCAAAAGCCACTGAGCAAATTAAATGGGAAATTTTTTTTTAAAGATTTGAAACAAGAAAGAAATACACCTTACCAAAACTCCGGGGTTACTAACAAGAAAGTTTTTAACAATAATATTCCATGCCAATAAATAAGTAAGTAAATAAATGCACTTATTTATTTATTTTTAAATCACCTACTGATGCAACACAAGGGTCTAGGTAAGTAAGAACAAAACAAACCCAATATCAGTAAAAGAAAATAAATCAGAGCAAAAATACGCAAAATAGATTATCAATACAATAAAACCGATCAATACACTAAACAGCTGAAATCTGAAAAGATACAATCAACAATCCTTTAAGACAAACAAGAGAAGAACCAAATACATAAAAGTAGAAATGAAAATGAAAATGTTACAACTCATTATAGAAACCAAAAGGCTTGCTGGAGGTAATTCATAAACAACTACATGTAAACTATTAGAATACC